TTTAGAACAAATCTAAGAAGATGACAATCTACGATAATAATATCCAAACTTTGAATCGCTTCTCACGAGTATAAATATAGACTGAACGAAAAGAGGACCAGTTTCGCAAAAGTAATTCCCATTTCCCGAAAAAATTGGAGGAATAAGAAAATTACTCGTCAGAGATTAAGCTAAACAGAGAAAAGTCTGCCATTTTGGGAAAGTAAGCTGGTTTCAACTGAATTAGGCTAGAATCTCTTAACCATAAAAAAAATTTCAAGGAAATTATATTTGTTGTAAATAAGGTAAAAATACTCAAGTTACTGTACTAAAAAATATTTTTTTAACTTTTGAAACGGCAAAAAATCGGTGGTCAATCACTTCATCCATTTTTCGAACTCTTTACAAATTCTAATTTCGAGTGGCTCAGGGAATTTGTTTCTTACTGAAACTTCCTTGTGTTTTTTCTTTAGCCCGAGATTGCACAGAGCTCCTTGCTGCCGGCTTCAAGGATAGTGGAGTGTACACACTCAACCCAGCAAACAAAACCAGTTTTGAAGTGTACTGTGACATGACGACGGATGGTGGTGGATGGACCGTCTTTCACAAACGCTTTGATGGGTTCGTTGGATTCTACAGGGACTGGGACGAGTACAAGAACGGGTTTGGTGACGTCAGAGGGGAGTTTTGGCTTGGAAACGAAAAGATTTATCAACTGACCGAGATCCCGAGTCAGTTGCGAGTGGAAATCAACACCACATCGGCTGGAAATAGATACGCAAAATATAGTAATTTTACGGTGACAAATGAGGCAACCAACTATACCTTGTTTGTCGGATTCTATTCTGGTAACGCTTACGATAACCTTTTTTATCATAACGGTATGGCTTTCTCCACCCAGGATAGGGACAATGACAAGGACAGTGGGAACTGTGCTAAGTCTCACAGAGGAGCATGGTGGTTTAAGTCCTGTTTTTCTTCCAGCCTGAACAGTAACTTCGGAGATAGCAGCTATACTTGGTACTGGAATCCACTTATTGGTAGCCAGATGAAACTCAAACCAAAATCCCCTTGACTGACTTTCTAATCTACATCTGGAAAGTGAAGTGGCTAGAATGATGGAAGGGATAATAAGAAAAACTTCAGATTATAGTAATAATAAGTTGTGAGTCATTATAGCGAGGTATTGGAAACTCCTGTATAAGCATGAGATTCACAACGTAGCACCTTAAATTGATTCTAATCTAAAGCGTTAGCGAAATTTGTAGTTGCCGCCATTCAGCAAGTTTTGATTGTTTCGAAATTGTAACATTTTCGTCGTTACTTACTTTTGCCCTCTTGAATAAATTACGCGATTTCCATGTACAATCTCGAGAATTTTGGTAATCTCCCCATTTCGTAACTTTGCTAAATTTCGTCGGTTTTGATGGGCCCTTCCTTAGACCTCCCAAATTACTTTAGTAATTTTTGTCCGTATGCTTGTTCATAAGAAGTTTTGAAAATTTGGTAATATTTGCTATTGGGCGATTTTTTGTGTCTGTGTTCAATCCTGATGTTTCATGGCCGTAACTGAAGGTCTCAATGGGATGCTGCCTTACCGCTAACGGTTAAAATGTTGGCAATTTTACGGCTAATGGTTAATTTTTTTTGTGTCGTACAATCGAAAAATTTTTAAATTTCACTTTTTCTAAGACTAAAGGTTAAATTTTTTGCTAGATTTTTTAGGCCGTTTTACTGCTAACAGTTAACCCCATTGAAACCCTCATAGTTGACTCTGAAACCAAACGCAAGCGAGTTAAACGAATGCGTTTTATTAACTGAGGGTTTTTTATAATAATAATAATAATAATAATAATAATATTTGTATGCATTTTACGTAGCAGGAAGCTAGGATATATAAACATTGTGAACACGGTTGTAAAGTGAAATCGTAAATTGAGGAACTGGTGAAAGACAGAGATTATAGCAAAACTTGAATTATTTTGATTAACTACTTTAAAATACTGGTCGAAAAATTCATTATATGTTGTTTCGAAATTTGTTTGTATTTACTGAAAATCCTGTAAAAGTTTCCTAAAAAGTTGTAGGTTTCAACAAAGAAATATATACTGTAAGCACTTTTGAGATACCACGTGACCGTACCTGTAAGTGACAAAGGGCCCTTCAACTTGTCCCAAGATTCAACCAAGTTAATTTGAAGATGAAACATTTTGGATCATTACTTACATGTTAGGTTTTGTGGTGGATCAGCTGAGCCTTTCTTCGATTTAAAAAGCGTCACAACGGGCCTCAGCTGGATAATTTCAGTACTCAAACATGCACGTGACTTCCTGCATCTCAGAAAGATATTTGCAGTCGAATAGAATAAAGTAAGGCGCTAGGACAGCGCAAGTGTCCCATGATACTTTAAAGTCTTTATCTTGAAATGAACATAACATTACTATGACCGAATGGACGTCTTCTTGTTTAGTAGTACTTTCCGTGCAGAAGTAGTTAAAGAAATATTTTTTACACCTCGTAAGCTCTTCGTGTATTGTTGCAGAAAGTAACATTTGACATCTCTGCATTGTTTTGGATCTCTCTTGATTGCAAAAAGACTTTTCTTTGCATAAACTTCTACTCTTTAGGTACATGGAAAGTTTCACGGTTCCAGTAACAGTTTTTAAATACAATGATATGCCGGCACATCGGCGAGATACCACTAGAGAAACGACAGAACAGAACCATCGGAAAGAAGCTTATTTAAAAGCTCACTGAGGAAGGTCTCTGACACGAACAACGCAGCAAAGACAACGCAGAAATGAAGGAAGAAGAACGACGGAAAGTTATAGAATCTAGAAGAATTTCGATTTTTTGGAAAAATGTTTCAGCCACTATTTATATCCTTCCTGTTTGACCTGGAGCAGATCTGAGTGCATATTTTCATGTCCACCGATATTATTTTTGATTATCTAGAATTAACTTCTTTAATTCGGTATTTGCACGTACAGTTAAGTCGATCTATCAGCGCGTTAAACCAGTCATTTAAAAACTGCGTTTTCGCAAAAATGTGCGCTGAGCCAAAACATCGCACTTTATTGTGACTGAACCTTTCTTCACGGAAACTTTCTAAATAATCTGCTCTCAGCATCAAGTTGAGTGTTACACTATTGGCGTGGTACTACCAGGTACTAGTTTGTCGGTGTAAAACATGATAAATTAAAACAAAAAATATTCACAAACCACTCAGCAACTATAACACATTACAGCGAATTGACGCAAACGCTGAAGGAAGTAACATTCGATTCACTTAGTCCTAAGCTGAAAGGATTGTAAAACTGCAACAATCCCTTAAAACAATAACCTTGGATCATAAGTTTGTTTACAAGGAAGTGAAATTCATGCTTCCCATTGAGCTAATACCAAAAGATATAAATCGTTTGAATGATATAAAGACATCAACAATTGTTGTAAACTACTGAAAGTATACTTTATACGCATAATGACGAGTTCGGATAAAAGCAGACCTTCTCGCTTTCTCTTTATTTGTTGCCTTTGTATAACTCTTTTGAGCGTGGTATTTTGTGTTGTCAGTTTTATAAGAATTGCAGGCGAGCTGACGGAACAAAACAAAAGAATCCTGGCTCTAGAGGAAAAGCAGAAGAAGGTGACAACAGACATTCCGCTTTCCAAGCCTTTGACTCCTGGTAAGAATGATTTATTAAGGCTCCATTTAACCATGTTTTGCTCGCGATGTGCTTACAAATTCGCTTAAACAAACCTACCTAAGTGGGAACATTACAATGTTTGAATAGACAAGACAGTCAGAACAATGGAAAAAACTAAGGTCACTTTGCATTTAATATTTCAGTGTAACAGGAGGAAAACATCGGCCGTAGTTACCGTTGCTTTTGCAAATAATGAAAAGATGAAATATATCGAGTCCTTGTTGTCGCACCGAGAAAAGCTTAACTGGCAGATTCACCACAAAAGATTTTCGAGAAGATTAATCTTGAGAAAATTTCATAAAATTCCGTTAGTCAGTTAAAAAAATTATGTTTCAGGGGCTCGTGCATGAATCCAAGTCGATCATTTTGACACAGTTTGATTTTAATTACCCCAGTCGCAAAGATGCATGGCTCCATGGCTCTAGTCATTTTGTATAATGATAAATTCTCGTAAAAATGCCAGTACATTATCTGACAAACAAGTTATGAAGTTAGACAAAGTTATTGGCTGAAAGGAAAACGTAAATTTGCCTGAAATATTTAAATGATTTACGAAGGTTCGAATTCTTCCGCTTGTGGATTTAAATTCTGCTCGTCAATGGAATTAGTAAAGAGTGACAAGTGGTCCTTCGCTGATTTCGAAATCTATCAGCGTTTCCTCATAAATGGTGCAATCTGTTTGGCCACACTCCTCTGTTCCGTGATAGACAGCGAGTTGAGCGAGTAGTCTACCAATCCGGTTGTGGCGTGACCTATTGTATCATTTTAATATCAAACATGAGCGTGCGTGTCTTGTTGCTAAGTTTTGAACTAGAATATTTACACTTAGGCAATCAGAATGTTCGCTCTTTATCCAAATGCGTTACATTTTTTCGGGCTTCGCCTTCATCAACCATCGTGCCATTGAAATCTTGAGCTGGGAACGAGAAAAGTTGAGCCGGAGTTTTTATTGACACTATTTATTCTTCCATTTCAGATAACCATAACGTTCTTCCCCCTAGCTCGAGATCTTCAGCTCAGATGAGAATCCCACGAGCCGCCAATAGCCCCGCCAAAGGAGACAATGGAGTTTTATCCCCCGATATCCATCGGCAAATTACAAAATCCGTTTACGCTGCAACGCAAAAGATCTGTACAAGCAAAAGTCAGATTTGTATCAAGGGTCAAAAGGGGGAACCTGGAAATCCGAAGTCAACTTCTTCTCTTCAGCCTATCAAGGGAGAAGCGGGGGGTGTTGTCACTGCCCCTGGGATTCTATTGCAACCGACCGTGAGCACAATCGACTTGGGCGAGACAGCTGCATTTCAATGTTCTCCAGAGAAGAACGTTGTTGCAACAATTTCATGGTTCAAGGAAGAAGGCTCCCTTCCCACTGGAAGATATTCCATTGTTAAAGGAGTACTCTACATCAGGAATGCTACAGTGGGTGACAATGGGATGTACGTGTGTACAATTCGTACTGACCAAGGGACCGCTCAGGCCTCTGTTTCACTCAACGTCAACGGTAAAGTTCTATTTACATCAAATTCATAACGGCAGTTCAAGAGGCAGCATTAGTAAAAATTTTGCGTCTGGTAGGATTTGTCTGTTCGCCTTTTCAGTTACCAAGTCAATGATATTGAGGAATTAGGAAACGTCAGGCATATCTCATTATCACATGAAAAAAAAAATCTAAATATAGAAAAAAAAAAGGTTTGTAAACCGTACATAAATTGTGCTTATATCATCATAAGCTGATTTATCGCCAAAACCTGAAGATTAACTTTCCTCCACGCAGCTCGGCCGCTCATCTCTCTACCCGCCGGACCAATCTACGCTGAGAGTGGAAAGAACGTCGAGCTCCCTCTATGCCAGGTCATCGGATATCCCCCTGCAGTGGTATCTTGGTCAAAACTTTTTGACCAACTCCCCGGTGGTAGAGCCACTGTCAAAGGCCACACTCTGACTATATCAAAAGCAGACAAGAAAGATTCAGGAACCTACATCTGCTCAGCCTCGAACGCCATGGGCACATCACACTCCATGACATCTCTGATAGTCAATGTGGTGCCTCAGTTTACAGTCAAGCCACCAGAGAAGATTGAGCTCTACCATGGACAGTCAGTGACGCTCAACTGCTCGGCAGACGGACACCTAGTGTCTAGCATCACCTGGACACGATGTAAAGGAGACTTACCAGCAGACCGGTCCGAAATGGAAGGAGGACAACTGAAGATAAACAGTTTGATGAAAGAGGACAGTGGGACATATATCTGCTCAGCACAGAGCGAGTTTGTTCACGTGGAGACTGAGGTGCAAATGATTGTGAAAACAGGTGAACATTAAGAAGATGTCAATCTACGATATATAATCATATCCAAACTGTTCATCGCTTCTCAAGAGTATATATATAGAAGAAAGAAAACAAGACCAGTTTCGCAAAATTAATTTCCATTTCCCAAAAAATTGGTGGAATAAGAAAATTTCTCGTTAAAGATTTAGCTGAACATAAAAAAAGTAAGCTTGTCACAATCTAATTAGGCTAGAGTCTCTGGACCCCAAAAAATTATTCAAGGAAATTGTATTTGCTATCAACTGATTAATAAAATGTTTTTTTTTTTTTACTTTTGAAACGGCAAGAAATAGGTGGTCAATCACTTTATCCTTTTTTCGAACTTTTTATAAGTTCTAATGTCGAATAGCTCAGGGAATTTATTTCTGAAACTTTCTTGTTTTCATTCTTCAGCCCGAGATTGCGCAGAGCTCTTCGCTGCCGGCTTCAAGGATAGTGGAGTGTACACAGTCAACCCAGCAAACAAAACCAGTTTTGAAGTGTACTGTGACATGACGACAGATGGTGGTGGATGGACCGTCTTTCACAAACGCTTTGATGGTTTCGTTGGATTCTATAGGGACTGGGACGAGTACAAGAACGGGTTTGGTGACGTCAGAGGGGAGTTTTGGCTTGGAAACGAAAAGATTCATCAACTGACCGAGATCCCGAGTCAGTTGCGAGTGGAAATCAACACCACATCGGCTGGAAATAGATACGCAAAATATAGCAATTTTACGGTGACAAATGAGGCAACCAACTATACCTTGCTTGTCGGATTCTATTCTGGTAACGCTTACGATAACCTTTTTTATCATAACGGTATGGCTTTCTCCACCCCGGATAGGGACAATGACAAGGACAGTAGGAACTGTGCTAAAATCGTAAGAGGAGCATGGTGGTATAAGTCCTGTCATCACTCTAGCCTGAACAGTAACTTCGGAGATGGCTACTATTATTGGCACTGGAGTCCACTCATTGGAAGCCAGATGAAACTCAAACCAAAATCTCCTTGACTGACCTTTTAATCTACATTTGGGAGGCAAAGTGACTTGAATGATGGAAGAGATAATAAGAAGCATTTCAAATTATAATAATGATAAGCTGTGAGTCAGTATAGCTAGGTATTTGGAAACTCCTGTATTAGCATGAGATTCACAACGTAGCGGCCTAAATTGCTTCTAATCTACCGTGTTTGCGAAATTTGTAGTTGTCGCGATCCAGCGAGCTTTGATTGTTTCGAAATTGTAACGTTTCTTTGCCCTCTTGAATAAATTGCATGGTTCCTTGTAAAATCTCGCCAATTTTGGTCATTTCCCTTTTTGTATCTTTGGTAAATTATGTAGGTTTTAATGGGCCCTTCCTTAGACCTCCCAGATTGCCTAAATAATTTTCGTCCGTACCCGTGTTCTCAGGAATTTTTGAAAATTTGGTAATATTTGCTATTAGGCGATTTTTTTGTGTCTAAGTTCAATCCTGATATTTTCTGGACGTAACTGAAGGTCTCAATGGGATGCTGCCTTTTACTGCTAACGGTTAAAATGTTGGAAATTTTACGGCTAACGTAATAAGTCGGAATAATATTTGTGTGCATTTTACGTAGCAGGAAGCTAGGATAAACATTGTGAACACGGTTGTAAAGTGAAATCTTAAATTGAGCAACTGATTAAAGAAAGAGATCATAGCTAAAACTGTATTATTTTGATTAACTACCATAAAATACTGGTCGAAAAATTCATTATAAGTTGTTTCGAATTTTGTTTGTATTAACTGAAAATCGTGGAAAAGTGTCCTTAAAAGTTGTAGGTTTCAACCAAAAAATACATACTGTAAGCACTTTTAAAATACAACGTGACCGTGCCTGTACGTGACAAAAGGCCCTTCAACTTATTCAAAGATTCAGCCAAGTTAATTTGAAGAGGAAACGCTCTAGGTCATTGCTTTCAGATTAGGTTTTTTGGTGGATCAGTTGAGCCTTTTTCCGATTTCAATACCGTCATAACAGGCTTTAGCCGGAGAATTTCCGTACTCAAACATGCACGTAACTACCTGCATCTCAGAAAGATGTTTGTAACGGAATAGAATGAAGTAAGGCCCTGAGACAGTGCAAGTATCCCCTTATACTTTAAAGTCTTTATCTTGAAATGGACAAAACATTATTATGACCAAATGGACGTCTTCTTGTTTGGAAGTACTTTCGGTGCAAAAGTAGTGGAAGAAATATTTTCTACACCTCATAAACTCCACGTGTATCATTGCAACAGAAAGTAACATTTGACGCCGCTGAATTGTTTTGGATCTCTCGGTTGCCACAAGACTTATCTTTGCATAAGCGTCTACTTTTTCGGTATTTGAAAAACGGTGTCACGGTTCCATGAACAGTTTTTTTACAGACGATGATATGCATGCACATCGACGAGATACTAGTGGAGAAACGGTACTACAGAATCATCGGAAAGAAGCTCGTTTAAAAAGCCAACTGAGGAAGGTCTCTGACACGAACAACCCCACAAAACCAACGCAGAAATGAAGGAAGAAGACCGACGAGAAGTTCTAGAATCTGGAAGAATTTCGAGAGCACGTTTCTCTATTTTTTGGAAAAACGTTTCAGCTACCATTTATATATACTTCCTGTTTGACCTAGGGCACTGTTTGCGCGGATATTTTCATGTCTACCGATATCACTTTTGATTATCCGGCTAAAAATTAGCTTCTTTAATTCGGTATCTGCACGTACAGTTAAGTTGATCTATCACCGCTTTAAACATGACAGGACGGATAATGCATGCACTGTAAGTACCTCCCGTTGTTCCATACAAAGCCTTAGAAAAGTTTTCTAAGGCTTTGTATGGGACAACGGTAGGTACTTACAGTCCACGCGTTTTTCCGTCCTGTCATGCAGTCATTTAAAAACTGCGTTTTCGCAAAAATGTGCGCTAAACCAAAACATATTATTTATTGTGATTTAACCTTTCTTCTCCCAAACTTTCTAAATACTCAGTTCTCAGCATCAAGGTGAGTGATACGTTATTGGTCAGAAGCCACCAGCTACGGGTTTGTCAGTTTAAAACATGATAAATTGAAACAAAAAAATATTCACAGCCCACTGGGCAACTAACACATTACAGCGAATTGACGTAAATGAAATATGCAGAAGAAAATTTATTGGTACAATCACTTTATCCAAAGATGAGAGATTTAAAGGTGTCTCTTTCCTACTGTGGTTCTAAACGGCAAATTACGTTCTAATAAGATTGATAAGGAATCATATGTCCATGGGGCTTACTGTGATTTGCGAAACGAAACGAAACGAAACAAAATGAAAATCTGTGATTTGCGAAATGGAAATATGCTAATGTTTGCAAAATAGAAGTCGCAAAGTTCACAACGCAGATTTTGCAAATCACTATTTCCATTTCAATCCATTTCGTAAATAACAGATTTCTAGAAATCTGTAATTTGCGAAATGAAAATATACTGATGATTTCAAAAAATAGAAATCTGTAATTTGCGACAAAAATTATTCTGAGACTCAAGAAAATAAAAGAGCTTTGGTCAGTTACATTTTCTTAGCAAACATGATATTTCATGCCGGGTCTCTGTTTAATTCAGTATCTAGAGTTCGAGACCAGGTGTTTTAAAATCTTGATAAGAATTTTCCTTGAGACATTCTTTGTCCCAGACTCATGACATAAGCTTACTGTCGTTCATTGAAACTTCTGGTAGCTGAAACATTTCTGCCCCTACGTGCTAAACACTGAGGGAAGTAACATTCGATTCACTTTGTCCTAAGCTGAAAGGATTGTGAAACTGTCAACAATCCCTAAAACAATAACCTGGTATCATGAGTTTGGTTACAAGGAAATGTAAGTCATGCTACCCATTGAGCTAATCCCAAAAGATATAAATCGTTTGAATCATATAAAGACGTCAACAGTTGTTGTAAACAACTGACGGTATACTTTCTACGCATCATGACGAATTCGGATAAAAGCAGACCTTCTTGCTTTCTCGTTATTTGTTGCCTTTTCATAACTCTTTTGAGTGTGGTATTCTATAGTGTTAGTTTTATGAGAATGGTAGGGGAGCTGAGGGAACAAAACAAAAGAATTCTGGCTCTAGAGGAAAACCAGAGGAAGGTGACGACAGACATTCCGCTTCCCAAGCCTTTGACTCCTGGTAAGAATGATATAGTAAGGCTCCAATTGCCCATGTTTTGCTCGCAATTTGCTTAAACAAACTCACCTAAGTGAGAACATTACAATGTTTGAATAGACAAGAAAGTCAGGAACAATGAACCAAATTGAAGTAATATTAAGTAATAGGCTTTATTTAGAGAGGGTAAAAACACTTAACAGTAGCCCTAAGACACTGATGACTCTGTGGCTCTCAAAACAATTACAAAATATATATGCTACAACTAATAACTATAAAATAGTTATTAATAAATAGTTTTATAAAATAATAGTTTTCACAAGGTAATCCATAAAGGAGGCAGCAACATGCTTTTCACAGACTTTAGAAAATATGGAAAGCACGGAGATCGGTCTATAATTGTCCCGACAATCTTGGGCGCCGTCTTTAAAGAGAGGTGTGACGCGCGCCAGTTTCCATTTAGTTGGAAAACAGCCACTCATTATAGACAAATTAATCAACCTCGTCAATGGCTGTACAAAAACGGGTGAGACCAGCTTTAAAACTTTCACACTAATTTCATCCACTCCAGTAGCCTTCGATGATGACAAGTTATCAATAAATTTCTAAGTCTCCTGTACTGTTGTGAGAGGAATATTGAACTGAGTGACGAAATTATCGACGGTCGAGGAAACAAACTCCTCAAGCTTCGAAGAATCAAAAGAAACGGATAAAGTTTGGTTTTGCTTATGTTCTTGAGCAATATTTACAAAATACTCATTTAACATGTTCGCCATTGCAGAAGTGTCCGTCTCAAGAGTACCATCGTCCCTTCTGAGTTCGGTGACTTTCGTAGACTTCTGAGAATTGGTGAGAGATTTCAGCGCCTTCCTAATTTCTTTTGGGTTTCCTTTGTTGTCATCGATAGATTGTTGAAAATACATTCGCTTAGATTTTCTCACCAAATTTGTCACATAGCGCTTCGTGCGTTTGTATTTTGACCAGTCATTAGGGCAGTTTGTATTACGAGCAATTTTTAATTCCCGATCACATTTCTTTATTGCGCTCACAATATTCTCATCAATCCAAGCCGGCTGCTTTGTTTTCTTCATGCGCTTTTGTTTTTTAGGAATATGTTTTTTAACAACTTCACCTAGAATCAACTCAAGCGCATCCAGCGTGTCGTCAACATCGTCAAAGACAAATGCACTGTCCCCTGGGGAGTCCTTGAGGTCAGAGAGCATAGCCTCTGCATTCAAATTCTTGAAATCTAGATAATTTATTCGCTTGTGACCAGATTCCAAATTTAGCTCAACATAGTTGCGACATAGAAAAATTGGGAGATGATCGGAAAGTCCAATACATGGTACAGATATGTTGGTGATAAAATGCCCATGTGTTGTGTAGCGTGATCCAGACAAGAGTTACTCTTTGGCCTTGTAACTACCGTCACATGTTGTGTCATAGTCATATTCTTTAGTGATTTCATAAGCCGATGTTTAGAGTAAGCTTTTCTGTCCAAGTAGTCGACGTTCACATCCCCGACTAAAACTGTCTCCCAATTTCTTAAGTACGCAACTTCGATGTTTTTTTCGGTCTTGGAGTCCGTATCTTTATCCGTGGAAGGCGGACGGTAGAGAGCCCCGATTAAAATTGATCTATTTGAGTTGTGCGGATAAACACTCAACCATAAGGACTCCACATCAGTGTCCTCTAAATCCCAGATTCTATTTGCCTTTACCCTGTTGGCGACATAAGCTAAAAAGCCCCCGCCTTTTTATCCAATTCTATCTTTTCGAAGCAAATGATAGCCGGAGATATTATAGACTGAGTCCGGTTTCGAAGGCTTTAGGAACGTTTCCACTTTGCATTTAATATTTCAGTATAATAGGAGGAAAATATATATCACGGAACAGAAATATATAGAAAAAAAATATATTTCAGTATTATAGGAGGAAAATGTCGGACGTAGTTACCGCAGCTTTTGCAAATAATGAAAAGATGAAATGTGTCGAGTCCTTGTTGTCGCACCGACTGAAAGGTTAACTGGCAGATTCTCCTCAAAAGATTTTCGGGAAGATTAGCCCCGAGAACATTTCATGAAGTTGCATTAGACAGTTAAAAAAGTTATGTTTCAGTGGCTCATGCATGAATCCAAGTCAATCATTTGTTACACAGTCTGATTTCAATTACTTCAATCCCAAAAATGCATCCTCCATGGCTCTAGCTATTTTGTATAGTGATAAGTTCTTGTCAAAATGCCAAGACATCATCTAACAAACAAGTTATGTGATAAGAAACACTTATTGGCTGAAAGGAAAACGTAAATTTGCCTGAATTATTTAAACGATTTATGAAAGTTCGAATTCTTCCGCTTGTAGATTTAAATTCTGCTTGTCAACATAATTAGTGAAGAGGGACAAGTGGTCGTTCGGTGATTTCGAAATCTACCAGCGTTTCCTCATAAATGGTGCAATCTGTTTGGCCGCACTCTTCTGTTCCGTGATAAACAGCGGGTTGAGCGAGTAGTCTATCTATCCGGTTGTGGCGTGACCTATTGTATCATTTTAATATCAAACATGAGCGTGCCTTGTTGCTAAGTTTTGAACTAGAATATTTACACTTAGGCAATCAGAATGTTTGCTCTTTATCCAAATGCGTTGAATCTTTTTCGGGCTTCGCCTTCATCAGTCATCGTGCAATTGAAATCTTGAGCTGGAAACGAGAAAAGTAGAGCCGGAGTTTCCATTGACACTATTTATTCTTCCATTTCAGATATCCTCAACGTTATGCCCCCTAACTCTAGATCTTCAGCTCAGGTGAGAATCCCACGAGCCGCTGATAGCCCCGCCAAGGGAGACAATGGAGTTTTATCCCCCGATATCTATCGGCAAATTACAAAATCCGTTTACGCTGCGACGCAAAAGATCTGTACAAGAAAAAGTCAGATTTGTATCAAGGGTCAAAAGGGGGAACCCGGAGATCCGAAGTCAACTTCTTCTCTTCAGCTTATTAAGGGAGAAGCGGGGGTTGTTGTTACTGCCCCTGGGATTCTTTTGCAACCGGCCGTGAGCACAATCGACTTGGGTGAGACAGCTGCATTTCAATGTTCTCCAGAGAAGAACGTTGTTGCAACAATTTCATGGTCCAAGGAGGAAGGCTCCCTTCCCACTGGAAGATATTCCATTGTTAAAGGAGGGCTCTACATCAGGAATGCTACAGTGGGTGACAATGGGATGTACGTGTGTACAATTCGTACTGACCAAGGGACCGCTCAGGCTTCTGTTACACTCAACGTCAATGGTAAAGTTCTATTTACATTAAGATCATAACGTCAGTTTAGGAGGTAGCATTAGTTAAAATTAAGCGTCTGGCAGGATTCGTCTATTCGCCTTTTCAGTTACCTAGTCAATGATATTGGGGACTGAAGTAGGAAACGTGAAGCACATTTTATTATTATATGGAAAAAAATCGAAAATAGAAAAAACAAAGGTTTGTAAAACCGTACATAAATTGTGCTTGTACCATCTTAAGTTGATTTTATCGCCAAAACCTAAAGATCACCTTCTTTCTACGCAGCTCGGCCGCTCATCTCTCTACCCGCCGGACCAATCTACGCTGAGAGTGGAAAGGACGTCAAGCTCCCTCTTTGCTAGGTCATCGGATATCCCCCTGCAGTGGTATCTTGGTCAAAACTTTTTGACCAACTCCCTGATAGTAGAGCCACTCTGAAAGGCCACACTCTGACCATATCAAAAGCAGACAAGAAAGATTCAGGAACCTACATCTGCACAGCTTCAAACGCCATGGGCACAACACACTCCATGACATCTCTGATAGTCAATGTGGTGCCTCAGTTTACTGTCAGGCCACCAGAGAAGATTGAGCTCTACCATGGATAGTCAGTGACCCTCAACTGCTCTGCAGACGGACATCCAGTACCCAGCATCACCTGGACACGGTGTAAAGGAGACATAGCAGCAGACCGGTCTGAAATGGAGGGAGGACAACTGAAGATAAACAGTTTGACAGCAAAGGACAGTGGGACGTACATCTGCTCAGCACAGAGCGAGTTTGTTCACGTGGAGACTGAGGTGCAACTGATTGTGAAAACAGGTGAGCAATATTTGCTGTAATAATCTTGCAGAATAGTGAAATTTTTTAGTAGGTAGATGAACATGCAGATCTTCTGTTCCTTTCCTCGCCTACTTGTTGTTTCTTTCCTGGTCGAATTATTTGATGTTTCTGTTTCAAGGTCTAATTTAGAATGGCTCAGAAATTATTTCTTATTAAAACATTTCTGTTTTTTTTCTTTAGCCCGAGATTGCACAGAGCTCTTTGCTGCTGGCTTCAAGGAAAGTGGAGTGTACACAGTCAACCCAGCAAACAAAACCAGTTTTGAAGTGTACTGTGACATGACGACGGATGGTGGTGGATGGACCGTCTTTCACAAGCGCTATGATGGGTTCGTTGGATTCTACAGGGACTGGGACGAGTACAAGAATGGATTTGGTGACGTCAGAGGAGAGTTTTGGCTTGGAAACGAAAAGATTCATCAACTGACTGAGATCCCGAGTCAGCTGAGGGTGGAAATCAACACCACTTCTTCTGGAAATAAATATGCTAAATATGATAATTTTACGGTCACAAACGAAGCTTCTAACTACACATTGTTCGTTGGTTTTTATTCTGGTGATGCAAACGACCAGCTCACCCCCCCATAGTAGTATGGCTTTTACCACAAAGGACAGGGATAATGACAAGCATGGTGGGAACTGTGCTATATCTCAAAAAGGAGCATGGTGGTATAAAAGCTGTTATCACTCTAACCTTAACAGTAACTATGGAGGTAGCGACTATTATTGGAACTGGAGCCTCAAGGGAAGCCAGATGAAACTGAAACCCAAATCCCCCTGATAAACAAACTTAGGTTGGCAAATTGCGCAAAACAATACTGCAACAAAATCGAATTTGAGGGTTGCTTTCGTAACATTATAGACAGAGGGAAATTTGCAACATCAATGCATCAGTAAAGCTCGGTGCATGTAAATCTGACGTTAAAACTTGTCTAGTTTATTCAAAGCAGTTCGTTAAGTCTCTTATGGAACACTTGTTTCTCAAGCTCGGTATTCTTTAATCTGTTAAGGAATATCTATCGGCTGCAAACTTTTAGGATCGTATTTTAGTACAGATCTTGACGAGTTGAAAAGAAACAGGTATATTGTTTAAATTTCTTGATGTAACACAAAATAACAAACAACGTAAAAAGCATGTCTTTTAAGAAATGTTAAATATGGCCAAAACCTTCGTTGTGTAATTTTTAGCCATCTACAGCATGATTAGCCGTAGAAATATTAAATAATCTTTTATATGCTACGAAAAATACATTCAATGCTTCTAATTCGTTGAAAACAGTTTTATATCCCAGAATGCCATTCATCTTTTGATCGTAATATTACTTCTCTAATAATATACAAGAAAAACTTGACTCGCTTCAGATTAGCTAAGAACGAATGAATTTTTCATGTAACGCGAGTACAGTGTTGAAAAACGAGTGCAAATAACATACGACAGCGCGCGCTGTCAAAATTTCGTCTCACTTGACTTTCTGTGACGCTTTTTACATATTAACTATTAACAAGTAACATCACGATTTAAAATTTTTTTAAAAGATTACAAGTTGCACTCCCCCAACGGGCTCGTTAAATTTTGTTGCCTTTTCAAGATTTACCCGTGCTTATTAACTCAAAGTTACACTCGAAATCACGTTATTACCTAAGTTAAGTTTTTGTTGGGTTCTGAAGTGTGTTTGGTGATTTTGTTCCGATGCGATTGGATTTAGTGCATTTTTGTGAACTCAAAGATGAGCTGGAGCACCATCTACTCTTTACCCCAGTTTTGGGTTGTATGTTCATTAGGAAAGTGTTCAATGTTGGATAGCATCGATGATGTATCTTTCGAGAGCCTGGTACGCTTTGTGCAGATGGTACTTAGGTGTTACGTAGACAGCAAAAAGGCTCTACTTTGGGGTTTGTCCACTATTAGAGGGCTTCTTATTGGATCGGATCGATAATGTTTGTGATTCAATCTCTTCCAATAATGTTCAAACATTGACATCTCTCAGTGATATTGATTAAAAAAAAAGATTCAAACGAGACACACTGTAGTTTTCATATTAATTACTTTTGCTGCCAAAGTCCGAATTTCCCGGACTGAGCAAAGTTCATTCACTCCGTGTATCTGGGTGAGTCCCTGAGCGACGCGAGTTCCATCCATATTGGTCTCTCGCAAAGTATAATTCGGTAAACATGCAGGAAAATAGGTGTACCACCTTCCACTTGCTAGTTTTCATTTCTGTTTAGTGTTAGCCATCTGTGTTTCCTTTTCGAGTTTTCAGCAAGTTTGTCAGGAAGAATTCACCTGTTTGAAATAAAACAAGGCAATTTCTGATTTTATCATTCATCGGACCAAAAATGTTTGGTCCCGAGGAATGATCTCGTTATCGCTAATAAAATATTCAGAATGTCTCCCGTTTTCTTTACATTAATAACTAACTGCATTTTTAGTTAGTTTGTGGTGTTAAAAGTTTCCTCCATGTTGCTTCCTCTAAAGTTCGTCCATTGAGTCAAACTTACGTCAGAAATTTAGCCTCTATGTCTACTTATTTGTGCTGTACCTGCTCTGTATGAGGATCGTACAAGCGGTCCACTGGCAGTGTACGCAAACCCCAGCTCATTACCAACCAACTCCCAATGCTTGAACTTCTCAGGAGTGATGTACTCCGTGACCTACGAAGAGAATACTGTCAGCTCTAGCTCTAGTCAAAGAAACACCATAGCACAAAAGCACCCCATCGGTATATGCGAGCCCTTGGTAACGCATGCGTGCAATTATAGATTTCTTACAATACCACAAGGTAGGGAGTAACTCTTACATTCAAATTTACGACAAACGCGAATTTTGATTTGCGATACACGGACATTAAACGACTTGTATAGATTTCACAAGGTTTGTAAACTTCTCAAAATCAACTTCTCGTATTCCAACTTCTTCAAAATACCCCGTATTTGCGTCAACCTTACTCGTCACCACCCTTCTCTTTTTCATTGAGGGAGGGGTGGGAGGTTTAGGGATTATAACATCGGCAATTTTTCTTCGAACAAGCAGTTTAAGAGCTTCGTACCGGATATTTCTCGCAACCCATCTTTCATCTTACTGGTGACATTTCTGCATCCCCTCCCTCTTCGAAGCTTGCATACCTTGTTACACAGCTTAACAATATTACGAACGTTCAAACTTCTCTCCATGGCGTTACCTTTAGATGAAGCCTCGTTGGTTGCATGTACTGTCCTAGTGTCACGCAATCTACTTTAGCTTCACGGAGATCTGATGAATTCAAGGTAAACTAAGTTATTTAATCGACTACCATGGTTCTTAGACGTTAGTTGGGTTAGAACTGTCAGGCGAACAAAAGCTGCAGACATGACTGTTTTAGCAAATCCCGAAAAAGTAATCCGTTTTCCTGGTTGAAAGATGATCGCCTTGTGCACAGAGAGATAAAGTTACAATATAACTGGTATTAGCCTCATTGTACATTTTGGCTGACCCTCCTTAGTTTTTACCTTTCAAGGCTTGTAGAACTTCTTCATCAGTTTCACCGAGACCCAGCATCAAAGAGCTTTTAGTCACCATGTATGGCTCAGTTCTCTTAACATGTCTTAGTACCTCAAGGGACTGTTTGTAGTTTGCTCTTGGGTCACGCACAAGCCTATAACCAAACAGCAAAATTTTCACTCACCAGTAACAAGAACTCTGAGTTCCATGGAGTACAATGGAGCAGACTGAAGTACTACTACTACCACTACTAATAATGGTAATGATAACTATTATTACTATTATCAGTTATTAGTAATAATAAGCTTTATGAAGAGTAGGTTATCCTTAAGTTCTCATGTAAAGCATATCATGTTGAACAAAACCTAAAAGTAATTAACAGACAAGCTTAAGAATGGCAAAATAAGTGAGTCTCAAGGTTATCCCTTGTAAAGGCAAGTCCTCTGCAAGTCACAAATGATCAGCAGGTTAAATAGAAATGCTGGATGCACAGATGGAAATGGATCTGTTGTCAAACTTTGAATTGGAAAACTAATCATTATCTTAGACAACAGTTTGAAAACACTCCTCTTTAAAATGGCTTTTAAAAACTCTCAGCTGGACAATTAGAAAACAAGATCAAATGAATTTGTTATTTAATGACTTTAACTCACAACTGCAGCCTATCCACTGTCTCCACATTGTGAGCATAAACATCCAGTCCTGATTTTACCACAGCTTCTACACCTTTTAGATCACCTCGGAAATCACCAGTCAAGCATTCTACAAGTATGCCTGGATTTCTACAAAGAAAGTCAGTACACAACAAAAAGAAGGTAAGACAAATTTGCCTTGACAGTCCTTGCAGTCAAAGGAATAGGGGTTACTGAAATAAAGCTCTCTCTCCCATTCGCACTAAATTTAACAATGTTTAAAATTTGTTTCTTACCTTTTCTTGATTTCTGTTACTGTCTCTGAAAAATGGGCAGCTCCACCATCTGGCAAATCTAAATCAACACAGAAGCAATAAAATTCATTTACCAAGCAAATCATATACTCTAAAAGGCAGAGAGAGGAAGTGGGGAAAGGGAGGCATTACAGCCTTGATAAAGAACAGAAAACAATAAACCAGATAAAGTTTTATCTGCTGGTTAATTCTCCCCTCTAGCTGCTACACATTCCCTTATAAATTAGTTGCAAGAATTTGGTTTTAGATCAAGATAACAACTTCTACCTGATACATTTGAGTATTCTCAATACCAGTTTGCTGGATAGTGAATGGATATTATAGGGAGAAGTTACATGTGAATCACCTTTGGAAGTTAAAGGGTTATTAATCTGGAGTTCTGTGCTCTAACCATAAGGCTACTGTGGGGGCTGTGCCTAAACTTATATAACCACAGTGGTTCTGTTACACTTCAACATACCATCTCTGTCTACAGAGGTGATGACTATGTAGTCTAAACCCCAGCGACTGATTGCCTCTGCTGTATTAGCAGGCTCCATAGGATCTGGCGGAGGAGGTTTCTTGTTGGTTTTCACAGAACAGAATCTACAACCTCTTGTGCACTGGTCACCAAGTATCTGAAAGGTTATGAATTCATTTTGAATTTCTAGACAACCAACTATCAAGTTTGTGTATAATACAGTGGCATACAATGTAAAAGGAGTTTGTGTTACCCAAATTGTAACTTAAATTTTTTTTCTGAAGTGTCATTGTACAACTCAACTCTTCTGGTGGCAATTCATAAATGTTTGCTCTATCCAACTAAAGTATATATTTTGCTATGTCAAGTTTTGTGGCTTAAATCCAAATGAATCAAAGTATGTGCACCATAAAAGTGTATGCTATAGACATCAATAGACCATTAATGTTTGTTACATGCTATCTTAGAATATTCTAAATAGCCAAAAAACACTAACGGCAAGTTACGAGCCTCTTTCATGTCACTAAAATTTTTATCATTTTAATCTATTGTTTGTTCCCAGTTTGAGTAACATATACCATAATAGTTGCAGTAGCTGTTTCACTCTCTCCTCCACCCCAGCATTCACCAATATTCGGGCATTTAGCCTCTTCACACACCTACAAATGAATGCAAAACAACAAACCACTTTAAACAGATCAACTTAGCATATGATATGATGTTAAATATTTTGACCAAAGAGTCCAGCCTTTGAGCATACTAAAGATTTTGAATGGTTATATGACAAATTTACAGTACAAAGCATTTTGGTCAACAAAATTTTGTGGCTGTGAAGGACAAAATGATCTAAAGTTAGTGTCTTTTATGTCAATAGAATTAAAATTCAAAATGTAACAGCTTTTTTTCTCTTGAAAAATTAAATCTTTTTTTTTTTGCAAGGCTTAAAGAGCCCAATCATCTATGATATTTTTGCAGACTGAGTGACACTTTGCAAAGAAACTTTGTTTTCGAAAATCATGTCCAAAGTCAGTTCTAGTATTATTGATAAAATTAAATAAAGAATTGACAATTGTGTCAACTACAGGTACTTAAATGAATAGACTCACAGTAGATAAGTTCAACTCTCTTAGTGTTTCTTTGAGTTTATGGTAATTTTTACCAGTGGGTATTTCCCTTTTGAGCCATGGTGGTAGACGTAGTCTGGAAAGAAAACAGAGTCCTCGTGACAACTGATAAGCTAGTGATCTGGGCAAGAATTACTTTATCTCTATACTTTGCAACCATCACTTCCACACATATTCTGAGATCTACGAAACAAGCTTATTTATTTATTTATGTGCGAATGTTTACAGAGCCTGAAAACACAGAGTAGTTTCACTAGCTTTGCACACCATACATAAACATCACGATGACGGCCGAGTCACGATAAAGCTTTAACTGAATAATTTCGCGAATCTCTTTGAAAGAAACGATGTGATAGCGCTCAACGTCCGTCTGTCATTGAAGAGTCCAATTTAAGTTTAACTAAGAACATATGATTACTGTAGCGATATAATACTGCTTCCAAAGTAACCCTGCAGCTGTACTCTAAATGCTAAAGTTGCTCCGTAACCTCTCTTGCTATAAACTATTATACCGTTGTCCTTTCTTTCTCTTGTAGGGATTTTCCTGTGGAATAACCTCTCCTGATATAAATTCTCCCAGACTTGGTCCCTCGGCTATGAGGGATTTCTTATCTGCAGACAGAGAACTAGAGGATCTTCTTAATAGGAAACAACTGCATGACGAAGCATAGACTCCTGGCTGCAAAGTGCGTGAAAATCAAGGAGAAAATTCAATAAAGAGCATAAAGAGAGTAAACATTATCCATATATATCAATTAACTTGGCCTGAAAATAAGTAAAACGCACCGTTATCTTGAGGAAAGTTCTTGAATTCGAAGGCATCAAAGCTAAGACTCTGTTGATGGTCGCCATTTTGAATTGCGTAATTACCAGTCTCTCTCTCTCTCTCTCTCGTCTCATAATTTGATTTCGTTCCCAGGAGCTCTCCCTTTGCAACTGTAGCTCTGCAGAATCTACTGAATAACTACCGTTAAAGGGGGTTTTGACAAAATGCAACCCCTTCCCTACACTTACCAGGCAATATCAATGGAAAAAACAAATTTCAAGGCCTACAATCCTAACTTAAGCTCTATTCTTGAGAATCGGTCTCTGCAGGGAAATCTACAAGGAAACCCAAGACTTATTAATTGGATATTTGAGCAATGTTTATATTCTTTTGATAAAAGGTTTCAGCAACAGAGGAGAAACATTAAAGAATGCTCTCTTATCTGCAGCATTCCAAAGAAAACTACTGCATTTGAAAGAGATTAATCAGCTAGAGAGGAGGATTACCCCACGTAACTACTTCCATGTACTTCAAGCTGTTCCAATTCCACCAAAATCCTAATAATTATAAAGAAGGGTCTTGGAATCGGAATTATGGTGGAATGTGAATGATTGGAGGCACAAATACTTGTTCTCTAGTGTACAAAAATAAAACTTATCCAATTCTCCAATGTAGCACCACCTGGGTATTGGATAATTTCAAATAACCAGTCAGGTTGATTAAATGTACTGGTAAATTGTTAAATTTCTACATCCACTATCCATTGAAACACAAAACCACAGTGAAAAATGATTCAATTATTGCATAAAATATCCCCAGTGGATAACATAGCACTCTCTCCCAGTGAACCTCAGACACATAAAAGAAAACTCACACAACTATTTGTTCTTTTTTAATGCACACCAGATGAACAAGTCAGAATGCGAAAAGCATACAGTGTATGGTGAAGTAAAAAACTAAATATGCTATTCAATCTGAATGACTGCAGGGTACGTCTCCTTGACCCTTTTACCCCTCAGAGTGACTAACATCTAATTTCTCCTTACAATATCTTCCCCAAATCAAACATTAAAGCCATGAAAAAAAGGGAATGACCAAACTAATTTTACCTGCATTTCCCTTTGACTTTCACTTCCTAATAAATACTAGCTATCAATGGGGAAAATCACACACACAAAAAAAAAACTGTTGTCTAGTTTATTCTGCCAAACATTGTTAAAATATGTTTTCGATGATTGTGACTAGGCCAAGCAATCTTAAAATTTCAAAATAAAATAAAATATCTAATTCTGTGAAAGATTATCCCAAACAAATCAATGTGAAGTTAGGAATACCACATATCAAGTAACTGTGGTCTGAAAAACTTTATGCTAAGATCTGGCTTCCTTGGCCTGAAAAAAAAAAAAACAACAACAACAAAACATTTCTGATGTAAAAAATAAATCGAGAACAGTGACTAAACACTGGGCAAATGAAAAGTGTACACAACATGAACATACATGATGTTAAAGCACAGCCTTACCAGACCTGCATTGTAGCATTAGAGTCAACAATTTACATATTGGCTATATAATGACATGTTTGTTTTTAAAAAATGTAGTCAACAACCTTTAATTGATTATTCAGCTTGCTGCCAACAAAAAATCAATGCAGTTTCCTACTGTTTCTAACTTATCACAATCTTATCAACCCCACAGCAACATTATACATCACCTCCTATCTAATTGTAAAGAGGCATAAAAAAAATTTAGCATTGTTGTTTGTTTCATTTCTCTTTGTTTCAACTCTTTTTCCAAATTCTATCATTATTTACTATAAAATTTTGCCCCATGTCCTTTTTTGGTAAAAAGAATGTTCCAAAACATTTTCAGAAACATTTCAATAAAATACCAAACAAAAAAATCACAATGAGTTAGATGTGAAAATAAAGGCGTTAACAAGTGTCATATAACATAATGTGGAATTTCCTCTACAAAGTTTGTTTCAAAGGTAGTATCAAAATAAATAAAAATATTTTATATGGTTTTGACATCAACCAGGAAATTTGCCTGTTGGCACAATCCCACATACAAAATAAACAAAAAACTAACAAAAAAAAATTGTTATTAAGAATCACTTCAGATAGAGTGAATTGCATCTAATGGAATGCTTAAATAAAATTTCACTAATTTTAGCCAAAATATTGGCCTTTTCATGCAAGGTACAAATGTATCCCCTTCTCAAAACCAACAACTTGACGACAAATACCTTAGTGTTTAAACATCTACTTTTAATCTATGATTAATTGCATCCTGTGAATTACGTAACACTTCAACATCGCAAAAGCTTCCAACAACCCCAGAACCTGCACGAAACACATGCATTGGTGCACCTTCCTCCCAAAGATCAGCCAAAGGGTTGTATGACTCAACTGAGTTCAAATATTGTTCACCATTATGGCCTCCCACTGCCCACAAGCGTCCTCCCATTGCACCAGCGCCCACCCCTCCCCTACATGTTGTCATGCTGGCCACATAGGTCCACTGGTTGGTACGTGGGTCATACTTCTCAACTGAATCCAAAGGAGAAGAGTCATCAAATCCACCAATTGCATACAAGAACTCACCCACAACAGCAACACCGACACCTGTGGAGTGACAATTTTGAGCTTCAGTACCATTTTCAACAAACAAACAAAACAAAATAAACCAACAATTCCACCATCTAAAATTTTGTCCAAAATTCATAAAGGCAGTTAGATTTGCTTGTCATAGCTACAAAAACAAAGTAAAAATTTTTGTCATTTATGGTTGTTATAACTGACAGAAATTAATATATTTCCAATGATAGCTATAAATCTTCTTGACACTGTTCAAAAAACCCCAATCTCTTAAAAATCCATTTACCCTAACCCTAATCTTAATTTACCAAACTTGACCAGCCACAAGGAAGTTGTATGTGTAATGATCCAGAGAAGGTCAGTCAGTTAAGATGTGAATGAGTATGTCCCTCATCATAAACCCACAATGGTCCATACAATGTACTCCCTAGCATACATGATTAGGTTGACTTTGAATTTCTGAAGGAATGGTTAACCAGATGATGAGTTCTTATTTGAGAAGGTGCAAGATGGGTTAGTGATTAAAGGTTTTTGAGAAAATGAAACAAAGCAGAGTAAGTCCTTAAGCATAGACAGATATAAAAATGTCATCTCTACTTTTTTCAACCACATTCTGAACTGGTAGAAGCTCAATGCTCATATGAGCCAAAGTACTTAAGAGTTAGTCCCACCTGCTCTTCTGCGGTTCATGGATGCAACTCGGCTCCATTTGTTGGTGTGAGGGTTGTACCTTTCCACACTCTGAAGAGATGCAGCACCATCATTACCACCAACAGCATAGAGGTAACCACCCAGCCCTGCTACACCCACTCCCCCTCGAGGCATCAGCATAGGTGCCACCATGCTCCAAGTATCATTTTCAGGATCATATCTTTAGGAAGATCAGAAGACATGCAATGTTGTTGATTGTATTACACACAACAATAGGTCTAAAACAACTCAGCTACCCACTCAGTCAGTCAGCCAAATCAACCAAAACTAACCCTCACTTGCTTATTTTCATTGAGAAATTTTCTTCTGTTCAGATCATTCATGAAGACTACCTTGGTTTTACAAAATGCAGTTGACATGTGCCTCACTATAGATCTCCGCTTGCATTTAAAGGGCCATTAGTTATAGAGACAGAATTTTGGGGTACAACAGACTTTTTGCTGCAACTATAGGTTGAGCAGTTGTTTGCATTTAAATTCTGGAGAAGTAATCTGGTTCTCACTGCATTTAAAATGATTTTTTAGAGCCCAGATATGCACATCTTAAAAACATTTTGTGGATAATTTCTATTTACCTTTCTACAGCATCAAAGCAGGTTGTTTCGTCCAGACCTCCAGCAACATAAATCACTCCTTCCAGGACACCAGCAGACATTCCTCGTCGTGAAATTTCCATGGACGCAACTATCTTCCATTGGTTAATTTCAGGGTTAAAACACTCCACAGTATTAAGGTGTTGACTGCCATCATGTCCTCCAATTGCATAGACCTTGCCTGCAACAGAAGCTACTGCCACGTGCCTTCGAGGTGTAGAAACTTCTGCTACCTGGAACCAACAGTTGTGGAACCAATCATAGCACTCAATACACTGAAGAGGATCGCCTGACTTTCCACGACCACCAATTGAAAATAAGGCTCCGGAAGTGGACTTGCGTGGTTGAGCTCTGATATTTACTTTCACCAAAGAAGGATAAAGTTTCACATTCTTTGCCTCGTCTATTAAATCTCGACAAGCGACATTGTTTCTGATGATCATGTCTCTTTCCACACGCTGTATAAGGTAATCGGTGGCAATCAAAGGAAGCCGCACATGACTTAACAAGTCTGACAGAAACTGTTCTCGTGAAACCAAGTCAAAGCGTACCCAGGCACTAATAGCCTCAAAAACCTGCTCTTCGCGTTTTACGTAAAGGTCTTCCCCAGAGATAATGGCGAGAAAATGTCTAAAAGAGGTTTTAAGAAGGGCCTCTGTGTTCATAAGACTCAAGAAACAACTTCTTGAGTAAGCATCTGCCGCTTCAATAAAGTCTCTACATCCATGAAGCTCTGCATACGCTCTCATTTCCAAACAATTTGACGGGTGAAGATGCCGCTTCATAAACTCACAACAAGCATGAACAACGAGATCCAGTTGAAACACGGCAGCTGCAGTCAGTAAAGCTTCAATATTGTCAATACTGATCGTAATTTTTCGTGTGTAAATGAAGTTAATCAATTGAATGACCGCTTCTTCGGATAATCCCTGAATAACAACAGTGTCTTTGGAGGATTCTATCATGTCATTCGTAAACATTCCGCGGAAATATGGACTGCACGAAGACAAAACTACACGATGGCACTTGACTTTTCGCTCTCCAGCTTGAATGATTACATCACATAGCTTCTTCTCCCTAAAAAACTGAACTAACACTTCAAAAGCCTCGTTCGACAGACTGTGTGCTTCGTAGTGGAAAGTGTCAACTATTATGTCTCCCATAATTTGCAATATGCTAGCAAGGCAAATTTTAAGTCTGAAGTTCCGAAGCTCCGAAGTTTCGACGATCACAATACCGTCATCGACTTAGCAGCCTTAATTCGATCACAGCAGCTGGTAGACACGAAATTCAGGAACAGGAAACGGTGGAGAAGTTTCAAATTAGCCTCAAGGATGCCGCGTATACCACAATGAAATGGCGGCCATATGACTGTAGTGCGGTTTTCCGGCTATTGTTGCTCTCCCATCTCCCCAGTTTCCCTCAGATCATGTGATTACGCGGCCTCGAGGTGTACGCGCGGTAAAAGCCAATGGCCATCGTCATGAAACGTTTTGAACTCACCTAAGAAACTTTGCAGTAATGCTACAAATAAATTCTCAAACTTATAATCATTGCATAGTTAAATTCTCTGAGAATGCGAGCCAGACAGAAGGCACAAATTCCCCAGCCGGCTATAGATCTTAAAACATAATAAATATAATAGTCTTAATCTCATGAGTTGGTTTTTATTAGTAACAGGAATAAACTGTTATGTGAACATTTTCTAATATGTCATATCTTAAGTTATGCAGTAGGTAAGCTGAACGAGCTAGCGAGTCAGAAAGGCGCGAACGCGCGCGGTATGAAATCGCTGCGTGACATCTCGCTGATGCGTGGGAATTCTTCACGTTCAATTTGCGCAAATAATCGAACAACTGACTGACTTCTATTTCAATTGTCCACTAAGCGGATAAAACTAAGAAACGAAAAGGAAAGTCGGATGTCGTGTTTCTTAAAAAAGTATTTCGAGAAATGGAATGTTCATTTCGTTTTTACAGTGCAGTAGAAAACTGAAATACGAAAATAAAATCTGAATGTCCTCTCCCAACACAAATGAAGTACGGTTGACGATAATATCTGTTAATATAAAAGGATTTTAAGGACTTTTTCACCACCACCTCAAGATATATGAACTCACCACTCTGAAAAATATAGTAAAAAAAAAAGAATACTGAACCATGCTGTTTTATTTATTCACCTTAAAAATAATTGGATTAGTTACTGAGCTCTAAGTCATACGATGAAAATTAAACACTTTAAGCGCTCTCGTAAGTCCAGACTGACATATCCAGCATATAAATAATTTATTTAAATATCCTATGTTAAAAACAATTAAGGAAAGCTGTCTATTTATGAAATAAAATGAGACTAAAAAGATTGTCAAATTATATCAAATACAAATTTCTCTCGTCTGATAAAAAAAGCTGAAATCACAAAGCTGCTCCTTCATGATATAAAATATTAATGTTTAGATTCCGTCTGATTTTTTCCTTACAACCACATTCCCTTGCTGTAAATTCTAACAAGACTTAACACCATATTTCTCGCCGCAATTATTCTGTAAAAAAAAAAAAAACACTACAAAAATTTAATCATTTCAGTACTTCGATGCCTGAAATATTAAATTCGCTTGCGGAAAATCGAAGTTAGTTCAGCAGCCTCAGCACTTGCTTCCGTCTTGAATTCGAAAAGAAAAACAAAGAAGAAAGAAAGAAAGAAAGAAATTTACTACAAAAATAGGCCTCAGAACAGGCTTAACTTAAATCAGTGTTACGTTCTCGTCGGATGAGCGGGGGGAAGCGTGATAATAATGCAAAGGAGTTATTGACGTGCGAGATTCGCCCTCTGTTTTCGCCTCGCAATTTTCTCCGCTCGCCTGAATACACGACAAAAAAAAGAAGGAAAAAACGGCGCTTTTTCTGAAGGGAAACGTACATTTAATAAGCTGGTCGGTCGGCAAGTTAAGGCGATTGATCGTAGAGAGCATAGAATGACTCACAAAGCTTGCTTTTTGCATTCACCGTATTTTTGTTTGCTTTTTTGTTTTCATATTAACCTCAAACGGAAAGTTATTTGGAGATTAAAAGTTCAGTGAGAGTCAGAAAATGAACTCTGTCCGATCATCTGGCAGGTCTGAAAATCTTGAAACTGCACTCAGATAAAATCTAGGATAATTGCCTTTTTGTCCGACACAAATACCAAGGCAGACTTAACACGTCGTCACACCTCTTGATTGATTATTTACCTTCACACAGTTTTCTCTTAAGATGAGGGTCTCAATGGTGTTAACCTTTAGCCGTAAATCGGCCGAAAAATTTGGCCGTATGGGGCAAAAATTGAAAAATTTTAACCGCTTTGTAAAAAAGGTGAACCGTAAAAATTTTCTTTCAATCACAAAGGAAGTTAACCGTTAGCTATAACATGGCCAAAATTTTAACTGTTAACCTTAAAAGCCATCACCCCATTGAGACCTCCTAGGATGTAGTTGTTTGCAGATATTTATTCTTCTAATTTCAGTTCGTTTAATCAACTTTTGAGTTCTATGCTTTCCTTTTCCCAAACGGCTGCCCAGTTTCCGTGATCATGATATTCTTTGAGTAGTACAGCAGACGGAATTCCATCTTGAACTAACTTCACCAATTCGCCAGCGCAGAACACATGATAGTACCTCTGGTGTAACTTGCTTTTCACTTTCTTTGGCGGCTTGGTCGATGATGATGGGGATGATGATGACAATGATGAGGAAGCTGACAATGAAGATGATGACGATGACGAAAGGGAATCTTCAGGAGCTAATCTTGATTTAGCGGATTCTTTTTCCGGTTTGTCTTGGCAGTTCACCGTGGTATGATGAAAAACCTTGTTGCTACGGGTTACATTACGTGATCTAACACGGTCACAGTCCTCTGCAGCGCTTGAGTCTGATGTAATGTAATCACTGGAGCTAGAACTGTCACTCTCCGCGTCGCTTGAAGATGCTAACGTCTCCACGAGCCTCGCAACCACCCCCAAGCTAACTCCATTCCAATCATCTGCTCCATCTTCATCAAGACGGCCATCAGTTTTTTTCTCCCTCAAGCCGATGATGACATCATTGGGAGGAGACAACCCTCTGGAATGGTCTCCGTTCCTACCCCAGGACTTCTCGTCACAATCTTCCCTACAAGCGACTGAGCTCTCCTCAAAGCCGTCTATATCGAATTCTTCCTTACTAGGGAACAACTTCTTTGCCAGTAAGGAGAAAAATTCACTATTTAAGTATCTTGGTCGGTTCTGCAAAGAAAAATGCGACATCAAAGCTGACAATTTGGCGCTCAAGTCCAAGTTTGTGTCCATGGGAACGAGATTACCATGTGCTTTTTCTTGAGGGTGGTCGGGCGTTGTCTCGGAATTTTTGTCATCAAATAACTTCTCTAAGACATTATTAAGGAACTTTTTAAGCTTTGTGACCGGAGTAACCTCGGATGAATAACTACAATCAATATCGTGTGCTGGATCAAAGGTTGAAATCTTGCCGCCGTTCCTAACATGCTCCAGGCGAGAAAACTTCGAAGATCTCGCGTTTTGCACAACTTCTTCGATAACATCCTGTTTACACAAGTCTTCCGCCATTGTCGACTGCGTGCTGTATCGAATCTTTTCATTCGTTGGCTCGTCTAGGGAAAATGCTCGCCTTGATTTCCACGATGAAGCAGACTTGTTTGATGTACATCTTACTTTCATCAGTGGATGGATTCTGGACATTAAAGGAGTGGATTTCCTTCTGCGAGCTACAAAGAAAAAAATATTCTGGTCTGGAAAAAGGTTGAGCATGTCTTAAATGCATTTCATGAAGATGAAAAATTTATGGATTGTCGAGAAAAGGTTGCGTAATATGTTCTTGTCCTTATTTTCCTTTTGGAGGGAGGAGTATGGGGATTCTGGGGGAGGGGTGGGTAAATTGTCACACTGTACCCCCTTGGACATAGGAAAAAGATAATTCCAAACACTTCAATTAGCAATTAATGCAAGAAGTAAATTATTTGGATTTTTATAAAAATACCTGTATTTCTCTGGTATTGTGTAAATGGAACTAAGACATCTTGACCATTAAACTGTAAAAGTAATAAATGCAAATGTTTATAAGCATACAGTGCACCCTGCATCACTGAGTTATTTCATGGTAATCAGTTATAACTTGGGAAACCATTAAGCTGAGGTAAGATACATTAGAGCACAATAATTAAGTAAAAGCTGCACAACATAAGAGTGACAGTAAATTTGCCTGGTGATATTGCAAAACAAAGCCCATCTCACCATCACATTTAGAAGCATTTAACCTTAAAATCACATGGGTAAATCCTTTGAGAAATGTCTAAGATCTCTTACTTAACTCGCAGTGAATGTATAATAATAAAAAAAAATAACCAGCAGCTGTTTAGCCTAACAGATACAAGCAAAAATTTAAGTGCTTGGTAGGTTCCTTCATACTTACATTATCTAAGTAAACACTTAAGAAGAACATATTTTTTCAATCCAAAGTATAGTAACTGGAGTGCTTTTTTCTGTCTGGAAATAACCTAAAAAATATATTTCTAGGAGAGTTGTGACACTGACTAATTCTTAATTCTTGCTGACAAACCCAGAAAGATACTGTCAAATGTATGTTGAGAAATACACTCTGAATTTTTCCTAAATTGTTTTAGTATTGAAAAAAAAATTACATGGAAAGAAATCAACTGAACAAGATTTAGCCAGGCATATGTTATATTGGAAAGCAATCAAGAGCAAATACTTTACTTTTGCAGTAAATGATTGTACAATATTTTCCAGTCCAATTTTATTTTCCTTGTGATGCATTTAATGTTTTTCAAACCTTTCTTTCATCTTGTTCAAATGCCCAAACATACACCAACATTTTCCCCCCAGGTTTAAGAATTCTGTAAAGCTCTTCCAGTGCTTTCATGCGCCTCTTGGCTGATGCAAAATGATGAATGACACCAATGGAAATCACAGCATCAAAGCAGTTCTCCCTGAGGGGAAGATTCTGATTGTCACAAGTCAGGACATTGTGGCCTCTTTTAGCAGCAATTTCACCAAACTTCATACAGCTGTCTGATCCAAGAGTGAAGGACTGATCTCCCACCAAGTCTAAGTACCTGCCTGTTCCACAACCTGTGAGAAAACAATTATTCAGAAAGTATATTAAAAATTATTGTTATCTCTGTATGATATTTCTACTTGGACCAACTTTCCTTCAGAATTATCTCTTAACCCTAAAACTCCCAGATCAAATTTGTAATTTTCCTTACTGTCAACCATACAATTTTTATAATGTTGGTTCAGAGAATTTAGTATTGGATCAACAAATTATCCTTAAATTAAAACTTTTCTATATTCTCATCACTTATCTAGTTGATATTGTATTAATATTGTAAGGAGAAATTCTGTCTTGGTCACTCAAGGGAGTTAAAGGATCAACTTACTCCTGCCCCACCCTGTTCATATCACACCCTTCAACAACATTGGAAAAGCTAATGGAATAGATAAGCTTCATTAAAATTGTTTTCATTCTGGAATCTTTGTTTGTGCAATTTTCTATGAGAGAGGACTCGCAAAATAACTCAATCAGAGTGCAATAACACTGTTATAGTTTCTAAAATAAAGTGGGCAATTATGTTTCAATTCACTTATTTATGGACATGCATTTTAGCTTAATTATTTTCGATTTTTCCGTTTCGATTAAAATTTTGGTCGGTTTTACGTTTTTTTATGAGCCCTCGAGTGTATTTTTTCCTTAATGATATTGTTATACTTTGCTGTAAAAAAAAAAGTCATCCGAAAACGTCAGACAGTATTTTGCTGTTTACATCGATCCTACTTATCGTGCATATCATTCGCAAATGATGTTATTAAAATAAAAGCTTAATCATAAAGCGTCTCATTATTGGAGTTAAAAGACAATCAAGCAAATGATTTTCTTTTCTATCACAATAAACGGATCAAACAGCAACAATACTAAGATAAAAGCTCACCGGAACATGACGACCCTCGATATTTTCTTCTTTTCTTTAACTCGACTGGCAAAATTCGTAAAATTAGGAAATCATTTGGCAAATCTTACCTACATCAGCGATCAGGCTTCCTGCTGGCAGAGAAAGAAGGAATTCTTCAACTTTTGGCCAAGCTTTATGCCGTGAACCAACGAAATGAGGCGCTATTTGATTATAAACTTCGCGAACGTGATATTTTTCCAGTTCATCCGGTGAAGTATATTTTGACATTAAGACACAGATGTTTGACTATCTTTCGGATCTTTGCTCGGTTTAACCTCTCCTAGGCCGTTTGAAGAAAGAATCAAGTCCTTATGCAGAGAAGGATTTACAATTCGAGCGGGAGTTTCTCAGCAACTTCACAGGAAAAAATATCAGACAGCGACAGGCAATATGTAACGCAAAAATCGATGATCCGTAACAAATAAACAGACGGCTGATCACGGACGGAGAAAAGAAGGAACGATTACGCACATGTGCAACTCCTAAATATGTTTTATCGCGGTCTATAGCCAAGTTCTTATGAAATGTCAGATCTCTTGCCGTAAACACACAAAAACCGCGATTTCAATCGAATTGAGGGTAAATTGCCTGTCACGAAAGGTGCAACTAGACGAATAAAGGAAAATTTGTGAAAATAATTGTTCTTGTGCCAAATCCGTCCAAATCAGCAACAAAATTTGATGTTGATTCCTCAAAATGCGGATCGCAAATTCAGACTTCCTTCCTTTCGACCAGCGCTGAAAAGACAATGGCGAGAAAAAAATCTTCAGTTACTCTTTGTGTTTTGTTATCAATGAGCAAATTATTCAGAGAAACTAATTTGCAAATGAAAGAGTAAACGTGTTCGATAAACAATACAATGTTTTGAAAGCTGTAAGCAACAAAAACTTTCCGTAAATTTGTGGAAAATTATATCTCACAAAGAGTTTGCTTCCCTGGGAACGCTTTTATCAAGCAAACAATTTTGAATTTGTCCACGTCTTCACGTGTAATACATTTCAACTAGAAAATAGAAACAGGTGCTGAGGGAAAAACCATTGATTCTGGACAACGACAAATATTTAAATGGAAATGAACAACTTGATAAATAAAAATTGATAACTCCTTCTTGTTTTCAAAAATGAACAAACCATTAAAATCGTGCATTAAAATGAAAAAAATTATCACGTGTAATTTTCCACCCGTGATGTGCGCCTGATAGAACAGATTGATACGAAAAGACGCTTCCTAAAGAAAATCGACCACGTTTTCATATTTTGAGAACTAACCTTAATGTCGAAGCCACAATCCACTTGATTTCTATCAAGTAAATCATAAAAAGAAAGAACCACACATTTACTTACCATGTATCAAACCGCCCACACGTTTGAAGTTCATTCCAAATACAGTCTGCACCGAGGTTGACTGTCACGCAACCAAATAATTTGGCAAAACCAACCTCGTCCCCAGAGTTTCTCGGTCATTTTTTTTTCCCAAGGCGTCGTCTAGCCAAGAGTAGAAGCCTGACGCGATCGTTTATTCGACCGGCCATGTTTGATCTACAGTTAGTTAGGGTGGACGGTAAGGGAAGGAGACGGGGAAGGCATCATCCCTCAGTCCTTCCTTTTAACAAGCGCTTACCCCCTTGGTACCAATTTCTTTCTCTCCACAACCTTCTGCATTAGTAAAAATCAAAGAAGAGAGCTGTAATTTTCACCAAAAATAGCCCGAACATTCGCTCGTCAAAATCAAGCTTTCTCTGCAGGTAAGTCTAGAGAAACCACCGCCACTTTGAAACTGACCAAGGATTCTCGAGGAACGAGGCTGGTTGTTGATCAAACCGCTAACCTCATTCCCTGGGGTCTCTTTCTCATCCCTGAGGCAGAGAAAAGCGAGAGGACCCTGGAAACTGTCCAGCCTCCAGTGTGATCCACGGAAATTGTCTTTCCAAGGGCGAGACCCCAGGGAAACTTGGAGCCGCGGGTATCAAATCATACGAAAAAATTCGGTCTATGCTTTAGGTGTTTTAATTTACGCCGTGCGCAGCAAAATTTCTAAAAACATGCCCGAAAGTATTATTTACTGCGTGGGTCTTGACTTTTTAGCCTTCTGCCCTTCGACTTTACGAATAAACAATTTTTTATTATTCTTCCGCAACTTTAGTATTTTTTGGATACTACCAAGTTTATAATCTCTAATTTAACTTGAATGAAAATCTTACCAAGACTATTATTATCGTATTTTAATATATACTGGAATATTTGCGATATAGTTTTTCAGTTTTAGTGTCAATTTTTTTAATTTTTACCGTCTGAACAAGCAGTATTCACTTGGATTTCAAGAATGACCAAGAAACTAGAATGACTAACTAGTTACGCATGCTCCGATCTTGTTCACTTTTTAGCTCAATTGCATTTTGCTGCGTGCCGTTTTCCAAAGCGTGATGCAGTATTCATGTATAGAACACAGTGGTCAGTGTCAGGCATGCGCGAGGAGACCCATTCTGGCAGGGCAAGACTTCTGGCAGGCCGCGCACTTTCGCGCGCGAAATTTCTAAAGAAAACATAAGAGACAACCGCTGATTCACAACATATAACATAAGCGAAAGAAAATTGAAACGTACTTAGAAATTTGTAAAAGGCCAGGGAAACTTTACAGAAGTAGGGGAAAAGGAAATCTCGCAACTTTTCAAAGACAACGGGTATCCTGTTAAATTACCGTTGTGTTTTAGCTTTACCAAAAATGTTATGCTCTTTTAAAACACCGTGACTTACTGGCTTGTGTGGTTGTTGTAATTTGGTTGTGGCCACTGGTTCTGACGGTCTGAAAGCATGCCACTTCGTGTTCATGAACAGCGGTCTCGTTTTGCCCACAACACAGTCGTTAACAGAAATGATGATGTTGCTGTTACTGGTATTTCTGTTTCATTTCTCTAAAGCCAGTTGGTCACTTTCGGTCAGTTCTTCCATTTTCAAGGCCATCTTGCAGCATTCATAGCCTAAAATAAGGACAAAGTTTGAAATTTTTCTCGTTCCAGCAATCCTTTCAAGAACAACGCAACCTGTGTGGCTAAATAAGAATACGTACGGTTGTCCTCTCATAATTAAGCTTTTTTGAGCCAAACGAGTATCCTTTATGGATCATAACGAGTACTACTGTCATTGCAGTACCACTGAGTAATAAAGAAATATCTATATAGGTATCTATGATGGATAGAGCAGCTCAAAAGAATCAACGGTTTTGCTCGGAAGTAACCTCGTACCCAGATCCTACCGTTTAATTGTCCGTGGGAGGTCTAATTACGAGACTGGCTTGAAAGAATAGCAACCTAAGTCAATGATTTATCACCTCTCACTTGATACTTAGATCTGTTTTTCTGTGTCAGCTGATTAAAATTTCTATTTCTCGTTCCCCAATAAAACAATCAACTAGGGCTACGGGGTTGTTTCAAAATGTACCAATGTCGCGCCAATTACCATACATCGGGTTTTTGTGTCATCAGGAAAAGTATGCCACAGTTTTAAGATCTCAGGCACTAGTTTTTCGAGCTAAGTATTTCTTTGAGGTCTTATTTGAGGTTATTATTTGTTTTTGTAGGGACTCCTAGGTTGAGAGTATGAATTCTTAAAGAGCTTCTTCTGTAAGCCCTTTTACCGCCCCAGGGGGATAATTAGATTTTTTGTTTTGTTGCTAATTTCGTTTTCTTTACTCTCCTAGAGGTTTTACTCTCCCAGGGAGTAGTAAAGGGATTATTATTATTTTTTTTTAGGTCAACAACGTACCAAAGCTTAATTATCACGAGAAAAAAACAAACTTCTTTTCAGATCTCTAAAAGGCTAAATATTTTTAAAAAAAATCACAAAATTAGCTTTCGCTCTGAAGTCATGATATTCCCGGTCAAATTGTTCTCCGGAATACAACGAAAGCAGTCAAATCCACTTTGGTGAAATATCCTTAAACGACAGGAGATAATCAGATAATCCTTGACATAAGTCATTTGAATAGTTAACACTGTACCTCATAACAAAGAAAGCGATTGCCGCTCTTTCAGCTCGCATCTAAGGTGCCAATCGGCGAGTGTTCGAGTCGTGACAAACCCTAATGAAAAAACATTAAACAAATTAAAAAAATGCATCGTAAGCATCACAATATTAAACCGATTTTTCCTTGACCAATAGAATTTATGATTTAGGGACATTTGCATTACTTCATAGTTTTTACAGGTGGTTTGATAAAAAGAAAATTTTCAAAGATTAAAACCGTGTCTCGAAAGCCTTACAGTGCTCGTATCATTCAACTTTAGCCATTCTTGCTGATGAAATCTCACCATGCAGAAAATGAAGCGCAGGTTCCCCAAGCAGGAAACCTGCCTTAGAGTGATGATCATATTCAGCTTGGTTAAAACAAGTATTGCACAAGGTGAAGTGACCTCTTATACTTTGTTGTAGTTTATCTGGTAACCTTAAGCTGATCGTAGCTAAGCTACGTTTAAAGAACCTAACCTTAACTTGATATAAGATGATGGCTCCTACAGTGAAGCTGATTCTGATTCCATTGAGTTCTTCTAACTCTAGGAGGCATGCAGACATGAATGACTATCTGGATGCAGATGGATATTTTCTAATGTTATCGACCCAAAATAAATGCTTTAAATTTACAAAATTTTTTATTCATGTTTCTTAAAATCTATTCTAACTTTTCTACTTCACGCCAAAAACTTCCAAAAAATTGCGTAAAAAAATGATTGACTTTAGCAGTTTCATGTTCTTAAAATCATCCTCGAAACTGAAGAAATTCTAACTCTCCTAAGAGTTTCTTTTCCCCAGGAAAGTACCGAGGATGCCCTGAAGGTGTGTACTGTGCAAACTTCAAGCTTGAACCATTCTCCTATCTAAACATCACGAGAATCAGTTTGGAACTCGTCCACAGTGACAGCCAGTGTGGATTTGCTTGCCTAAAATCCGCCTCATGTTTTTCTTATAACCTGGCTGCAGTTCCTGATGTCAAAGGAGAACTGTTTTGTGAATTGCTTCCATCTGACAAGTATAACAACTCGGCTAAATTCATTCCCAGCCTAAGTTACCATCACTTAAGCATTTCGGTAAGTAAAAATAAACTGAAATTGATTTTAGGTGTGGTCCAATTTCTGAATTAATAAGCTTTGGAATTATTTTAAAGGTGAAAATATCTTCCGACTAATTGAGTATGATAATTTCTCTCGCCCTTTTACCAATCAAATTCGTTTATTATCCTGTTTTTGAACTGAAGAAGCACAAAAAAAATCTAACTCTTTGATCAGTTTACTTAACCCCGCCAATAACTAACAAACTATACCTTGGAAGAGGTGCATTTATTATACATGGATGTTAAGCGTCAGCGAAATGATATCGAGGCTAAGCTGTTCCTACGATACCACAGCATGTCAATGTTCCATCAACAGAGTCCTTGCTCCAGCAATCCTTGTATGAACGGTGCAACTTGTATAGCCAAGTACAGAGATGACGACTATGAGTGCGTATGCTCCACAGTCTTTATGGGAAAGCACTGCGAAATAGGTACGTTGAAAATTGCTTACAGAGCGAGATACCGGCAAAAAGTGCGTCCCTAAGTATTCCTGGCTGGGGAATGGTGCGAGTGATAAATTCTGTACAAGTTTGTGTATTTGTTCTCAATCATGGACCTAAGCAAGATGTACTAAAACTTTCAAATATGGGGGGGGGGGGGGGAAGAAGGGGGGAGGGGGAGAAACAACATTGTACGATCAGATAAAAAATTATATGAGTTAGAAGCATTCCTCTCAGAGTATGCATTTTTTCTTCAGCTTGACCCAGAAAATAGATGTGATACTTGCGGATATAGTCCTAATGCATGAATGTAATTATCTTGGTTTTTTTTTATCAGCTCCAGGAGTAGATTGTGAAGATATGCAAAAGCGTGTTGATTCTCTAAAAGATGGCATGTACTGGTTGGATCCGGATGGAGGAAGCCATTCCAATGCATTCCAAGCCTACTGTGATATGACGTCATACAGTGGAGGATGGACCATGTGTTACACTACCGATGAATATGTCACACCTAAAACTGAAGTCACTTATGACGCTCAGTTTCCTTATGGAAGTGACGGCTATAGGACCAACTGTAACAACATCCCGGTAACTTAATTAAGTGGCATTTGCTATTGTCCTTTAATAGTCTGGAGAGGGTGGGTAAATTTGTCTCGGCGAAATTGCTGCTCAGAGTTTGGTTCAGATTTGGCCGTGCAGCACAAAAACGCCCATGTGACCTGACTTGTTTCAACAAGGTATTTGTCCGGTCAATCCCCAGTTTCGGGAGTCTGCAGACTCATTACTCAATTGCTCGTAAGGCAATTTTCATTAGTAATTAATCCTAGACTAGATTGGTTTTGCTTTACTTTGCTTGGTGATTGTTTTAGAAAACTAGCACCACTCTCTCAACCGATCAGATGCAAAAATAAACCAATGAGGACTTAGTCACCCGCGTTTCCTGCGCTTTAGGCGGTTTACTTGTTCTTGTGTTGAGTTCTTCGTGGCTTTTCTGGGTATTTTCTTTTATGCTGATTGGCTTTCGTAATAACTTTGGTTTTGTTTTTGTGACGCCCAATTAATATCATTCAAATGTTATTTTCTCTGTCATCAGTTTAAAGAAATAATATTTATCGATCACCAAAACGAAGCCAAGGCTTACTTCACACGCCGTAATCAGGGTGCTCTGACGGCCGCTGTTAATTATGGAAGTGGTGCTGCTACCTATGGATTATGGGATGGCGTTGGAACTAGCAGCGAATTTTCCTATCAGTTGCTGATCTGCCATGGTCCTTTTTTTTTTGGATTCATGATATCCGGGTATACTGGCAACAATTATAAAGTGTGTGGCAACTGGGTTGTTGATAATCAGTCACCATATTTCCGTTCAGCATCAACCAATCCGTCTTTTGGAGGAGTTGCCTTTAACGTCAATGGTTATGGAACACTTACCAAGAAGCTCATCAGTGTTGGTTTACGCTAAGAAAGTTATTTCCATAGTAGAGTTGTCTCTTCTGAGTGATCACTTTATGAATTAGTAACCTTTTTAATGCTGCATCAAGGCAGGATTAAGTTAAATCGAATCACTATACAATCGAACCTGTTTTAAGCGACTCCGTATCAAGCGATCACTTTGTTTCAAACAGCCGGTTATTTAAGTCCCGAAATTGTTTCCTCTTAATCACAGTAATTTTTACCTTCATTGAGCGGTCGCGGTCGCCCTTTATTAAGTCCCAATGGCCTGTTTGTATTGTCTTCCATCTGTATTGAACGGTCATTTAAAACATTGAATGTAGCAGCATCATTGATTGAATAAAGCACTTTGAATAAAACGTAAGTGAAGCATGTTTGTTATGTTTGCTATGAGAGATGAGTGGTGCAGGCCACAATCCACTTCCACTGAGCGTCGTTTAATTATACTGACATCCTTAAGAAGGTTCCTTACGGGGCCGAGATGGAACAAGTGTGTTGGTCGATGCTTTGAACGACTACCTCTAGGTGGATTTCCCATAAAACGACTCATTTTTCAAGCACATGACTTGCCTGGACAAAGAATCACGCTTCATACAAATAGATTAACAGCAAGATTAGAGCCCAAGAGTGGCTAGAGTCTGAGATGATTACTAACAAAAGAACATGATGAAAACAGGTCTCTTATCAGTAATGATTCTTTGTCACACCAAAGTTGAATGCATTTCTCAAGAAGTGATGGGTACATTTGACGATGGAAATTTTGGATATGATTTCTGCCGAAAACACTAAACGCCCCACGGTCAAATGTTAATCTGACAGTCACGGGAAATAATTCTGAGGCTGATTAAAACGTATTGTTGGCGCAATCAGGTCGTTTCTTCTTGCTGATCTGCATGGCAAGTGAGATATAATTATATCACTAGGAAAACCAAGCCGGAACTAGCAGTTAACATTTAAAGTTCTGTGGAATGGTGGTTTCTCTGTGTAGGAAAAATGAACTTCCCAGATCAATATTCCTTATCACTCATTGCGATGGGATTGCCACTTGTCAACATCCTTGAGTAATTTTTCTGTCATAACTTGTGATATACTTACTGGGATTAAAATGATCATGAGAAAAACGGAGATTACTCTTGGTAAACTGCACGATATGCTGCAATTATCATCAATCAGCTGTACTGAGTCAGGCTTGTTAATTGAGCTTCGAAAGAATTCTCGAGTTGCTCCGATGATGCTTCAGATATACGCTCTCGGATTACGGCGTCTAAGAAAAAGCTACCTTCCCAACCAACACCTAATAGTCACGATATATTACTTTGCGTTTTCCCACGTTTCAAGCAGTATGTTAGTTGTTACTTTGAGTTCTTATTGGCTCGGTGTGATATTCGCCTTCGTTGTGTTAGACGACTGATGATTGGGTTTAGTTTTGGTTCAATGACACTGAGTCGAAATAGGCTCTCTCATCATTGCATCGACTCAAATACTTCAGGTGCTGTAAAGACAAAGATCTTGGGTTTACAATTTTTATTTTACATTATAAACAGCTAATCTAGATCTTGGTTCTCTGGTAAGCTTCTCTACCCATAAATAAAATAATAGTTTTATGTAATTAAGTTGCGACAGGAGTTCCGTATAGATGAAATCTGAAAATTGAAAATCATTTTACGGACCATGCTATCTCAAGAGATTGGACTTGCCAACACAAACATTTAGGTTGACTGCAAGTTTCTCTGGCTGATTTAACGAGAAAAATCCTGACTACGAGTTTGTTGTTTTCTTTTGCTGCGGGTTCAAAAATATTATCCGGTGCTCTACAGTTAACGGCTGTCAGGTGTTGCCCGCCGTACATAAACGTTCCACCCTTCACCAGTTTTCGACTTTCTGTTATATTAAAAAAGTTACTGGAGTTTCTGAAGAATTTACCAGTCAATCTAATTACTGCTCTCGATCACACATCGTAAGGTGTTTTCAATCTCTTGTTTTTCTTTTAATTTTTTTTTAACTTCCCTTGGTTGTTATTTAACTATTTCTGTTTTTTTTCTTCTCACTACAAATTTTGCCAAAAATTTCTGTGACTTTCGCATTTATCTGCGGCTTTTTGGGTTTCTGTCGATCAAATTATCAATTTTCTCCAGAAGAAATTTCATCATTTTTATTTTCTGCCTGAGGCGAATTGCCTGACTTAAGCCGAATCTTGATCATAAAAAGCGCCGTAATACGGCCAGGTGAAAATATCAGTTTTATGTCAATACACGATCGGTTATGACAAGAACAACTCGACAAACTGAAGTCGCGCTTACTTTAATGGGCGGGAGAGTGCACCTTTAATGAAGATTCTCAAAGAGGTAACTGACAATTCCAATAAGTAGTTGATAAGTGTAGCCTTCTTTCAGGCATTTTACATATCAAAGTAGATAATCAAATTTGTTGTCAAATTTGTTGGTTTTTGTCGTTGCGCTGTTCGTGTGTTAACCAGAGGTAGTGCTGTCGTCATAACTTACCCCTGTTTGCATCATGAAAATATTTTCTATAGATTTTTGAATAATTTTGAAGGCCATTACACACTCGTACATAGATTTTGCGACTCACAACCAATTTCACAATCAAACAACGTACGGTTGTTATGACATAATTTCATTATTCTCGGTTGCCTGCATAAGTGCCCCGTTTGCTTAATAATTTATGATTAAAAATTGGTAATTGGTAAGTACCACAAAACAAGAAATGAATAGCTCCTTTAATTCTCACCTCAAAATTTCACTTTTTGCTTTCTTCGTAACCAGCCTTTATCAAGCAGTTTCTGAGGTCTACATCGATGGTAGGAGTGGCTTGAAGCGAGATGCAGGGTACAGTGTTGCCTTCGGTAACTTTGCCGCACACAAGTTTTACTATCTTAGTTTGCCGCCTCTGGTTTCCACTTCAGTCAAAGATGTCGGACACTGTGCCAGGCTTTGTTTAGATAATTCAGCATGTTTCTCAGTTAACTTTGCGGCGATGCGCAATCAAGATGGGAATATAACCTGTGAAGTATTAGCAGGCGATAAATACAACAACTCCGCTTTGTTTAATCCTAGCGCGATGTTTCATCATTTGAGTATAAAAGTAAGTACATCTTCATTTTTCATCAGGTTTTACCCACGCTGTGTAGATACGCATTTATAGTTAAGGGTATGTTACACTGCAAAAGACCTTGGTAATCTCGTTAACTTTGATTTGGTAACCTCGTTAACTTTGATTTGGAAGTTTCGTGATCTTTAAGTTTAAATTCTTCTCATTTTTTTGTGAGACATTTGCTCTTTGTTTCGATTACTTACATAATTCTATTTTTATTCGCTATTTCAATAAAGTCGTTCCCTTGACTACGTCGCAAAACTATCTCGAGAAAGCACTCTTAGCTCGCATCGTAAACACAGGAATAAGGAAAAATGATGCGGCTACAAAGTCGGTGAGCCCTCGAGCAGGCAGCAAAGTAGCGTAAAAAGTTTTTCCAACACTTTCTCAATATACATCTTTGAAAGAAGCCAGAGATTAGCTTTTGTTTTCCTCACCGTTTCTCAGTATTTTGAGCACCTAAGGCTTTGTTTGACAAGGAAGTATTTAAAATGTTTTTTAGAAAATTTGATATGTCGTGCCTTCGTGTGACAAACTGTGAAAGACGCTGTCCACTGTGGCACCTCTGCAATATTTCCATCCCTCGCTTAATGAGTGATATGAAGAATTTGACTGCAAAAACCTACTTTCCCCCCAGTTCACAGGCTCATTTTATGATCTTTATTCAAACAGAGTCCTTGTTCCAGCGATCCTTGTATGAACAATGCAACTTGTGTAACCAAGTACAAAGATGATGATTATCAGTGCGAATGCGCGCTTGGATTTGATGGAAGACAGTGCGAACGTATAACACTAGGTACACAATATGTCATATTAAATTCGCTAATTTGCATATGTTTAGTACATGTCTACGTATTTTGTACCATTGACATCGAAATTGTTTTTGTTGTTGCTAAAATATACAGAACATCTCCAGACTACCTTATAAGGGCGGATTTCTAAGCCACGGAATAATTAAGAATTAAGTTTCTCCCTGAACATATTGCCGCCATCTTGGATCTTTTAAGCGGCGGAAGGTAAGAGAATCGAGAGAAAGATGTTCCTACCGATTCCTGAATAGAAGGTTAGCAATATGGCGATCCCGTTGTGAGGCCGTGACAAACAGAGCTAATACGAGTCCCCGAGTAAACTTTAACACACGTTTTGTCATTTGTAGGAGTTGACTGCCGTGACATAAACACACGAGCTCCTTCTCAGGGAGATGGAATGTACTGGTTGGACCCGGATGGAGGAAGCCATTCCAACGCGTTTTTGGCCTACTGTGACAAGACGTCATACAATGGAGGATGGACCATGTGTTACACTACCGATGAATATGCCACACCTAAGACCGAATTCACATACAGCGCCCAGTTTCCCTATGGAAGTGACGGCTACAGGACAAACTGTAATAATATCTCGGTAAGCTATATTTCTTCAGTCACTCAGTTAATATTTTCGATAAAAGGCTGGTTTTATTAGCAAAATGTCTGCCGAAAAAAAATAACCTAGGTATGGGAATGAAATCAGATCACTAAGTTTGTCATCTAGATATCTTTCATTCAGTTTACAGAAATCATTTTCGTTGATCACCAAACTGGAAGAACAGCTTACTTCAAGCGCCGTACTAGTCAGTCCATAAGGGCCTCTACTAATTATGGGAAACCTGCAAGCACATATGGACTATGGGACGGTATAGGAACAAACAACGCTTACTCCTACCAGCTGCTGATCTGTGACACATCATTTTACAGCGGCTTCTTCGTGTCTGGTTACACGGGAAACTGTTACAAGCGGTGTGACTTCTGGTGCGCAGACGTGTTATCTCCATACTTCCGTACGACCGCCGCTAAGCAAAGCTTCAAGGGCGTGGCTTTTGATATAAACGGCCATCGCGTAGTTAGTTACAGACTGATAAGCGTCGGTCTGCGCTGAGAGGTCCACTTAACAAATAAACTCCATGTTGCTGTGCGTCTTTACAGTAGAAAATCATAGCTGATGACATTGGGAGAATATGGCACTCGAAGCGCAATCGAGTTTGTCGACGATGTTCTTATCGCATTAGACGTCTTATGTGATCTATTACTGAACAGACCCAAGGCATCATGGAACCTATTTGTTTCATATTAAAAACAAAGTTAAATGGTGACGTCATCTAGGCGTCTGTCCTCCGAT